AAAAAAAAAAAGGTTATGTGAACATAACAAAAATGTTCAATTGTTCATATGGATCTCTTGAATTTTTTTTATTTCCTATGAAAGTGTATTCAAATCAAAATTTAGGCATCTCAAAATTAATTTTTTTTTTAGCATTTTTATGTTTGAATTAGAAAAAAAAATAAATATCAAAAAAGAAAAATAATGCATACTTTTTTTATACATAATAATGCATTATTTTTTGTTTTTTATTTTTTTAACATAATGTATTATAATAGACAAATCTTATAGATATATATATATATAATATAATATTTTTGGATTTTTCAGGTTCTATTAAAAATAACATAGGAAAAAGCACACCATGTGTATATAACGTGAAACGCAGAAAGTTCAAACTTCAAATTTATTTCTTGGATCTCATTACAAATAAAATACGGTAAAAAAATATTTCTATCTAATATATATCATATTTTTCTCTTATTCACCAATAAAATAAAATGCAGAAACATTGATTTTATTTTTTTTTTTTAATTTTATTTGAAAACAAAGGCGACGAGGCTATCTATATCCGTTCCGTTATAACGGGTGAAGTTTTTGGTTAACAACAAATCTCATTTTTCCTTATTTTTCCCATTCTGTTTTTTGGTTCCCAAAAACAAAACCCTAATTCCATACCGATTCAGTTTGAGCCTCGAAATACCTATCCCTCCCTCTGTCTCCATTCTCTCTTCCATCTTCTCCGACCTTCCCTCGTTCAATCTCTATCGTCCGATCCACCTCACCGCCTTCCCTTCATCGGAGCAGGTATCTCCCTCCATTTCTTCCCTGCTGAAAGTTGCCATCTTCGTTTTTTTCCTTCTTTACATGCCTTAATTTTTAAAATTTTTTGGGGTATTTTGACAATTCGATTCTCTTCCACCAGAGCATGTAGATTCTCTTCACGTTGTTCGTCTGGCTGAATCTCTGTTTCCGTTGTTATGTTTTCTGTTTGATCTGCATTTTTTGTGGCGGACAAATTGATAATTGATTTAGCCCCCAGGGCTCTCTTGATTGTTGGCAGCAGAATTCTTGATTTGTGGATCGAATTTGGCATCTTTGAGAATTCACTCATAACTTATTATAAACGTCTATGTTTATGTTTTGAAGAATTTTCGTGGTTTTTGACACCAAAGGATTCCCCCTCATTTTTGTTTAATAAGTTTATATATATATCCTTGTGTTGGAATGGGATAAAGAATGGTTAATTCAGTTTCTTTGCAGTTAAGATGATTTCAAGATGCCCCTTTCTGGTTCGGACCTTTGTTCTGTTTCAAATGTGTTTTCACTTGGCAAGAACTTCTGTGTTGCCCCTTTATTCTCTTTATTGAAACGTTTGAGTTTACTGGAAATGCCTTTTTCTTTTTCTTCTGGAAGTTGGTTTTCTGTTCTAGAGTTATATAGTCTTTGGTCCTGTAAAGTTTGACAGGGCTTAAAGGATTCTCGATCATAACATGTCTTTTGGATTGAACTGGTAGCTTTGGACTTCTGTATCGCTTTATTTTTTATTTTGAAAATCTCTGCATAAACTTTCTGATTTAGGAGGAGCGAACAACTTCTGATTGCGCTGCCAGATTGGTAGAGAAAAGTTAACTTAAAAATGCCTTTAACTGGTGTTGGGAACCGTTAACAATTTGTTCTTGTTGGGAACTCTACCTGAGATGGTTATGTTAGTAAAATGTGTACTGCTGTGTTTGCTTATTTTTGTTGTTTCACCGCTCCACGCCTGTTGCTAGTTATCTGCACTTATTAGCTTCTGGTCTTTCCAATATAAATTGTATTTAGAGTAAGATGGATCTTATTGTTATTTTCATATATTCTTTGTCGGCATTATTGTAGCTCGTATCCTCAGGTGGCTGAACTGAGTCCTGTACTTTCCAATTTTAAGGAGAGATTTTAGAATGGTGAATGTAGGACACCTTCTTGTGCTTCACTGACTTCATAGGGTAACATTCAGTTTAAAACATGTTTAAAGTTCCACATTTGTAATTTTCCTTGTAAATCATCGATTTCTTGCATAACCTGTAGCAACTGCTTATGCATTGCCTGGCTTTCCCTGCAATATTAAGATATCTGCATTGTTTGGCTATTCTGTTTGTATTTATTGAGATTTGCCAGCATTTGGTTGACATTCTTGAGCAAAAACGTAGTGGTGATTCTTTTTTGTATCTCATACACAAAATTGATTTATTAAACATTGCAGGACTATTGTTTGCAAGGATGTCTCCTGCATCAAAGTCCAAGTCTAAGGACAAAAAGGCTGGAAAGGATTCCCAAAAGTCTTCTTCAAAGCCTTCAGGACCTGCTAATGCTGGTAGTGGTGTTCAAGCTAGTGCATACAATCCTCTATTAGGGACATTTCATACTCTTGAAACAACAGCATCGTCCTCTACTTCACCTCTTCAGAATAATGGCCGTTTCCGAAACATAGATGAGACAGATGATCACTCCGGGGGTTCTCTTGGAGCTGGTATTGAATATGATTCTGTTTCTAACAATGGTAGCTGGTCTGGTGAGTCTGAAGATCATAAAGAGAAAACACCTAACCCTCCTGCCCGGCAGGAAGCAATACCAGGAGCTGACAATGATAAACGAGAAAAAATTCGCCAGAAGAATGAGAGGAAACATCAACGCCAGAAGGAGAGGCGAGCGCAGGAATTGCATGAGCGATGCAGTGGGTATCTCATGTCAAGAAAGCTTGAAGCACTTGCTCAACAGCTTGTGGCAATGGGATTTTCTCATGAACGCGCAACGATGGCTCTTATATTGAACGAAGGCAAAGTAGAGGAATCTGTGGCATGGCTATTTGAAGGGGGTGAAGAAGCAGATAAGCATAGAAAATCACCTGTTGGTGGGGGGAATCTTAAAATTGACATATCAGAAGAGCTTGCTCGGATATCTGAGTTGGAAATAAGATACAAATGTACAAAACAGGAGGTTGAAAGAGCAGTTGCTGCTGCTGAGGGTGACCTTCAGAAAGCAGCAGAAGCTTTAAGAGCAATGAAACAAGACCCACCTTCTGCACCACCTAAGCCAGAAGAAATTGGTGATCCTCCAACTGCTAGTAATGGCAAGGTATTAGTGGGAACTGGTCAGGGCTTGACTGTAAGGCCACAACCAAAATTAAATCCATCTTCTGCAATACAACAACGAAGAGATGAAAAGGATTTTAACTACACAAAAGCAGCTTTACCAGTTGGAGGACCTTTAGAACCTGTGAATAAAAATTTTCAGCCTTTGAAGAGAATACAATCAAAGTTGGAGTGGGCAAAACCCCAACAAACAGCAGTTCCAGCTGATAAAAGGTGGCCAAATGCAGGATCAAATACTTCTCTTTCTTATTCCCTGGCATCACCGCTGCAGGCATCAACTCCTCCAGTAAAAACAGAAACCCGTTACATGGCTGTCGGAAGCGAGTTTAAGAGCCTTCAATCATCGGTTAGAGAACCAGTTATAATGATGCAGCGTCCCCAATCTGTAAATACAAAGCAGATTCCAGCTACAAGCATAAGCTCATCTCCTCCTCCTACAGCCAGCAGTTGGTTTCCAACTAGTAGTGTTGAAACTATGAAGTCCAATGGGTTCATGCCTCATATTCCTAGCACTAGAAGCCTCAGTCCCAACAATCTGAGTTCAAACCAAATGTACCATCAACTTCATTATCAGCAACAGCAACAATTCGCACCCACCACTGGTCCAGGAGATTCACCAGGAACCAGCCGAGGGAATAGTTTATGGAATAGAACAGGTTCATCTCCAACACTTGCAGCTGCATCTTCTCTAGGGCTTTTCTCAGGCTTGGGTTCCACTGGTTCGTCAGGGGCCTCTTCTCCTGTTGATTGGAGCACCGGTAGCTCAATGACACAGTTGGACTATACCAACATAGATTGGAGTTTGGACCGAGGTTTGGCTTCTCCAAGGTTTGCCAGTGGTTTGTGGACAACACCGACATCTTTGAGGAACTCCCACATTTATGATCCAAACACCAATGGGTTGGGTGGTAAGCCAGCCATGAGATTGACAAACCCTAATAGTAATGGAGTTCCTATTGTGGGACTGCAAGACGGTGGATTGGCTCCAGCTGAGGCATCTGCTGCGGGTTCTCGTGAGTGGAGCTCACCATTTGAAGGGAATGATCTTTTTACCTTATCCAGACAGTTTGTTTCTTCTCCTTCGCTGTAGGGTGGGGGGGAATGACCAAATGAATAAAATGAAAGAAAAGACAATGTGCTTGGATTTGCTGTTAGTGTTGGTTCTTCTTCTGATGCCTTGCAATGTCGGTTGTTGGTTAATATCTTTTAGTAAGAAAAAGCGACTGAGTCTCATCTTTTCTTTTAATTTATATATATATATATATATATTTTTTGACCAGGTAGATGGTTAGGAAGTTAGTAGAGTTAGTTTGTTAGCAGCTGGAATTTTTCCAGGAAAGTGAACGTTTCATCCCCTCATTTGAGGCGTGCGACCATTAGGTCGCAAGTTGTTGGAGTTCACGGTAGTGGCAGAGCTCGAAGTCCTGAACTCCGCCTCATCCAAGCCTTAAAGCTTGGGGGCCAACCAATTGGGCCACAGGCCCGGTTGATCTTTTAATTTTTTTATATTAATATGAAGACAATGGAAGGGTTCATAGAGGTAAGGAGATGGTCTTCTACTCTTCTTAATTAAGCTTGTCATTAGAATGTGGTAAAATTAACAGTGGAAACTGAGGTGACGCGTAGATTGTGGGTTCCCGCCGATCATGCCATAAAATATGACTTTCATGGCTTATAAATCTGTCAGCATCCTAAACAAAAAAAAAGTCCAATTTACGGATCTGTTGCCCCCTGTCTTGTAATCGGCATGCCCGACAAGAACATTACTGCTACTATTACGCTAATGTAATGCCTTAACTACTTCGATTTCAGACAAAGGAATGGATGAAAATGAAATGGAGAGTCCGTGTCTGCTCAATATTTTAAGGTTTGTTTGGTTAAAAGTAATTTTTTTAACAGAATATTTTTACTAAAAAGTGACTAAAAAATATTTTATAAAAAATTATTAAATTAAGTAATACAATTTTATTAAAATTTTATCAAGATATTAAATTTGTTTTATTTAATAAAAAAATTGACATATAAAATGTATAAGGAAAATTAATGAAAAATGTTGTTTGATGAGTTTTTGTCTTGAAACAATTACAACCAACAAAGAAACTTGATAAGGAACGTTTATGAAATATTGTTTTAAAAGAAAAAATAAAATAAAAGTTTATTAGTTAAAAATTATATAAAAATAAATATTAAAAATCTTAATTTTAACTTTTTTTTTAATTATAATTTTAAAGTATACAAATAATAAAATACACTTACAAAATCTTAAAAATTAATGTTTTCCCGTTTCTGCCTCCCAATTTTTCTGCATTCTTGTCCCCTTATAAAAAAAGCATGTAAATAGAAAATACAAAAACTTACTTTAATTTTATTACAAAGGTTATGTGAATTTTTTAATTCGATGGTCAATTAAATAAACATGAATATTTTACGGTTCGCTATAATTCAGTAGTATGAATTTTGGGTTAAGATTATGTTTGAATTTCATGGAATTCCTTTTCATCTTCCCCAATTCATATGTAAATAATTTCAATATTTATTTTTTTAATATTAAATAATGTAAAAAATGTTAATTGTAATTTTAACTTAGTAAAACTTATAAAATATTATTGTCTATAAAACAAAAGTGTTTGTGTCAAGTTAAATGTGTGTTGATTGCACTTTTTTATATTTAATTATTATAAAAATTAATTTTATTTTTATTATTAATGTCATATAAAAAATTTAAGTAAATAATTAATAAAATTAAAGTTAATTTTTAATTTTTTTAATATATATTAATTATAAAAATAATTAGTACATTTAATAATAGACCATTTTTACATACATACTATAACATTACATATATATATATAATAATATAAAAATATTTTAAAAAAATTATACATAAAAATTATATCATATCATTACCCAATAAAATTTGAACAATATGATCTCATGGTAGTTTTTTTTTTCGCTTTCTTTGTTGCTCGAAAGAAAAAAAATTGTTTGTCTAAATTGGGTTATAAGTTAAATTTTATTAATTATAATATTTATAATTAATTTTATATAAATTTTTATATTAAATTCATATATTTTTATAAATTTTAAATATAAATACTTTATTTTATTTTTACATTTTAAAATTTATTTTAATTAAATTTAATATAAAAATTTATATAAAATTAATTATAAATAACATATTTATAGAGATTTGAGCACAGATTAAGGTCCCGTTTGGTATAGCGGTTTTATGGTAGCGGTTAGCGATTTTACCTAAACTGTTAAATATAGGTGTTTGATTAATTTGTATATTTCGAAACTGATATATATAAAGTGTTTGGTAAAATTTTTATTTAGTGGTTTGAGACTAATAGATAGCGGTTAGAGTCCAAACCGCTAGCGAATTGAAAAAGTTAGTTTATGTAACTTTTTATACCAAATCGCTAACGGATTAAAACTTTTTAATTTTATATACAGATTTATCCATCTAATTTTTTAATTAATAATTATCTAATAAATTTCAATTTTATTTTTTTACATTTAATAACATTAAGTGATTATAATATTTTTTTTGTACATTAATTTATAATTAAAAAATATATTATCTTAAAAGACAAAATTTATTAATTAGACAAAATGATTCATTTTTTATTTAAAAATAATATACTTTTAAAAAAATAAAATAAAAATGAGGGTGTAATTTATTATAATTAATTTTATTTTTTTACATTTAATAACATTAAGTGATTATAATATTTTTGTACATTAATTTATAATTAAAAAATATATTATCTTAAAAGACAAAATTTATTAATTAGACAAAATGATTAATTTTTTATTTGTTAATTAAACAAAATGATTCATTTTTTATTCGTCATTCGCTATCTGCTAATCGCCACCCACTATTCGCTACCCGCTATTGTTATTCACTATCTACTATTTACTATTTATTATCTATTATTCATTAAATTTTAACCACTGTACCAAACAAGCTGTAAATATATATACA